TCGCGCTTCCGCTCTAAGGCTGCGTTTATACTTTGCGGCAGCGTAGCGTAGCGCTTCCAGCGTACGCCAGCGGCAGTGCCGAAGAGAGGATGCATATCGATCTAGCTTCACCAGCGTCACCAGCGGCACGCTAGCGCACGCTGGCGTAGCGAGGGCACGGGAAGCATAGCTATCGATCTAGCTTCACCAGCGTTTCTCGAGCGTTTCTCCAGCGGCACCAGCGTTTTGCTAGCGCTTGCAGCGGCAGGGAGTAGAGACTATGTGGCCGTGAGAGACGCGGAATCGACGTGTATTGTAGAGACTATGTGGCCGTCGGAGACGCAGAAGCGATGTGCATTGTAGAGACTAAGGGCGAGTGAGAGACGCGCAATCGATGTGTTTTGCTTACCTCAGAAAACCCTCTCCGTAGTCTCTACTCCCCTGCCGCTGCAAACGCTAGCAAAACGCTGGTGAAACGCTGGAGAAACGCTGGCGTACGCTAGCGTGCCGCTAGCGTACGCCAGCGTGCCGCTGGTGCGCTGGTGAAGCTAGATCGATATGCATCCTTCTCTTCGGCACTGCCGCTGGCGTACGCTGGAAGCGCTACGCTACGCTGCCGCAAGTATAAACGCAGCCTAAGGAGTTGGTGAGAACGCGACCTACAGCCGCCGAGCCATCTGATCCCCTACACACTCTGCTTCACAACGAACAGACCACGTATCCTTTCAGTCAGAAGAGATCAGTTTTGAAAAATGTTCTCACATTGATCGCACTCCGTGATGAAGCGACTTCATATCAACCGTTTAACTTGCCGACATATATGAGTTGATTGCGCGATGACATTGTAAACGTGACATACATGGTGGCCTATGAACTTACCGAAGCATATCCGATGACGCTTGGGCCTTCACCTTTGATCGCGCTCCTGATAGAGTCCAGCAGATTTTTCAGCCACACGCCTCCCATAATGTTTCTGCAAGGAGCATATTCTGCGCAGCGGATCTGATGATTTTCTCCTGAAACCAGGAAGGCATTGCGATCTTCATTTCATAACAATAAACATTGCAGGGTAACATGCGGGTGCCCTGCACCTTTTCTCCATTCAGCTTCCTAATCGTTCTCTTCCTGTGTATGTCAACCCGGCAGATGTTTTGTTGTCATTCTTTGGTGATGTTCACTGGGTTGCAGTTATGAAAAATGCCCACCAAATGATAGCACAGCTTTCTTGAAAGAAGCGGCATTGTAACCACGCAGAGTGGGTTTGGATATCCAGGAAGGATATGGAGATTTGTACAGGTCCTGAAGGGAAAATCTCCGGAGTTGTAGGGAGGATATGCTAGAGAAATCAATCAACTAACCATCTCGATGATATTATCAGCCAGATCTGCGCACTTTATGATTGAGTGGCGCGACCAACGTGTTTTTTGGCGTGTAGTTCACAAGCTGAATTAAATTCTTATATAGGCAATTCTATGGCGATTGTCATGTAGAGACGGGGCAGAGACGCAGAGGATGTCAGCCCGTCGAACGCAGGAGAGGTTACTCTGCGTCCCTGCAGTCACTCTAATTTTTTTTTGCCTTCCAGCCAGACGCTTGCTTGGGAGATAGATTGGAGCGGAATTGGGCAAAAGTGCCTAATTCTCTGCATTTTGCGCTCTCCAATCAAGATAGTGTTCGCACGAAGGCCTCACAGAGCCCAGGAGGCGCTTCAGCCTCCCTTGCTCACAGCCTCTTTCCCCCTCACTACCAGAGACTCACCGTGTGTTCCGATGGTGAGTAGCTTTCAGATTCTGGCAGAGCTGTTCATCAGATATTGGTTCTTCCATGCTAACAGAGTGTAGGTACGAGCACTTGAGCTGCGAACAGCCAGCGTACCAGACCGTCGCGCGTTACACAGCGTCATCGAGCTTAACTGTGCATTCATCGCGAGTGGTCTGAACGCTCGCCAAAAGCAGTGCTTCAGCCCAAGGAGAGAAAAGCCTTACCTTGATCTGGACACGGGCAATCCCTTCACGGAATACATTTCAACATGGGTCATCGAATCGTGTATTACGGTACGGGACTCCAAAAGTCAAACTGCGACTTATTTCCAATCTGCCCAAGCTGTGGGAGTATAGAAACCGGCTAAGGCTACCTGAAAGAATGTGGTGGAGTACCACGTCCATAATGCTGATGGCGATGAATAATGGGAATACCACTGCGCGACTCTTTATCCGTTTATTGCCGTTGTATTCGCAACAAATTCAGAGCGTAACAGTGCCGCGTGCGGATGCGTTGCGGTCTTCAGGAAGCGCCCGAATAGTTTATGCGTTTGCTGAGGTAATTATTTTAGCATTTTTGCTCTGCTCATCTTCTGACGAAGGTGTCATTCTCTGCCAGCAGTAAGGAGCGCCATTTTGCTCGAGAAGGGACCATTCTGATGTGAGGTTCAACCTTGACGTGCTCTGCTCGTCTGCTGCCTCTCACAGCATGAGTTGACTTTGTCGAGTCACAAAGTGACATGGCCATCTCTCACTGAGGAGCGATTTGTTCCGAAACACAGGAGGTCCAGTCAATACTAATAAACGCTTTAGCATCAAAATCACCTCTAGCGGTCGTCTTCCAACCGCGGCGCGACCGCGACGCAGCCGTGACGCAACCGTAACGCAACCGCTCGGCGACAAGTATAAATCGTGGTCGGTGAAAAGAGACAGCAAAATTATGAGTATTTTCAGGGTTTCAAAGAAACAAAGTGAATCAACCTGTACCTGTAATGTCATCTGACACCTGTTAGCTGAACTCGAGTAGTATTTGGCCTGGTTAGGAAGGTAGTTCTCGTTCACCAAATCGCCGACGAAACGTCTCATCTCTCGACCCAATCCAAGAGACTGCCGTTTGCCAAACTGAAAATCCATGGGACACTGAAGGGCAGCATACCAGCTGAACGACTCAGAAATTTACCGAAGTGAGCTCAGTGTCCCCTTCGAACCCCCATCGAACAGGATTCATCTTGAGAATTTGTTCCGGATTCCGATTTCCATGTCGTGTACCCCATAGTACCAATTTTGTGTGCGGATCTGAATGAAGCTGATTAGAAATACAACTGCCACGCGAGCGGTGGGCAGGTGAAATCCGTATTTGCAGCCCATACCACTCTACCTGAAGGGGCGTGTCCACGGACTTAGAATTATGGCAACGGCCATCCTAACAGACAGCATACGCCTGTGGTTCCCTTGTGCCGTATGTGTTCTCTTGTTCGCCCTATTTAGGTCTCTATCCCATTATTGTACCCTGAACCAAAAGCATCCTGAAGATAACGCAGTCGTCCACGTCTTACAACTGAGCTTGTGGACACGCCCTCTCTAGGCGCCGTGATATGACCTGTATAGCCACGAATCTATCTGAACTGCTGTCAGCGACAA